AAAAAAATGTAATTTATCATTTTTGTTTTTCACTTTTAGATTCTATTTTCTATTCAAAAAACAAAAGCAAAAAAAAATAAAAAACCAAAAAGTAAAATTTCAAAATTAAAAATAAAAATTTGCAAATTTTTACAGTTTTAATGAAAATATTGTAAAAGTTGTAAAAGCTATCAATGTATTGTATATATGTTGTAAATCTTTTCAATGAATATTTTAAATTTATTAAATTTTTATATAAAATTATTGATTTAACTTTTAAGCTGTAAAAAATTTGTAAAAAATTCGAAATGAAAAGTGTATTAAAAAATATACGAAGTTTGCATGATGAAATTCAACAATTATAGTTGGGAAGTTTGTAATTAATTAATTGTTCATTATTAGGCATAAAATTTTTTCTCTAAAAACTCACATTGTATCATTTTGTGAATGATTTTGGAAATTAGAAGATTTAGAGCTTAGAAGAAAACCGAAAAACAAAAAATTTTTTGTCTTTTTCAATGTTTTTCTTTTTCATTTACAGGTATTTGCGACTCACAACCATCAGGTTCGCAACCACTTGCGACGCTTCGTGAAAGGTATGAAATTGCAAAGTGTTGTTTAGGAACTTTTTATTGCATTATAAAAATGATAGCCAAATAGTTGGTGAGGAAAAAAAGAAGCATGGATACATTCAATTAATTGGCTAATTTATTTATTTGTTTTTTAAAGTAAGTATAAACATATAAATGAGGCTGATTAATTAGCTAATTAATTTTTTCATTTATATATTCAGGTGGCTAGGATCAATATTTGATGAAACAGATATTGAAAAATGTGGTTGCTTATCGGAAAAAGAAACGGTAGAATTAATTAAAAAACTTAATCCACGAATATTACTTTGTCAAGTTGAACATGAAGTTAAGGTGATTTTTTTTTCGAAAATTTTATTTTAATTTATTTGAAATAATGACTAAATTTAATTTACTGACAACTAAATATTATGCTACCTGTAATAATATTTCCGTTTACAGGAAGCAAGTAAATTAAATCCGGATGAATTACAACGTGGAAAAATTACTCGTTCACAGTTTGTTGAAATTTACAAGGTTAATAATTTACACGTAATTACTGTAATTATTAATTAATCATTGAAGTGATTATTTCATTGATATCACAACTCAAGTTTTTAAATTTAATTTTTTCTTCCCATCACTTTTTTTACCACTTTATATTATCAATTAAGCTTGAAACAAATATCAACAACGAACTAATTATTAAGTTTTTATAGTTAAAGAAAAAAAATCAGACTGAAATTTTTTGGATTATTTAATTGTTGATCGTTTATTTTTTAGGATGTTGCAACAAGATCTGAAATATATTTTTTAATGGTTCGATATGCTAATAAGGATTATTTAAGTTGCAAGGATCTTCAATTATTCTTAGAAACCGAACAAGGGGTTAATTCATTTATGCAAAATTTCAAATTTATATATTTTCTATTGGATTTTAAGATTTTAATCATTTTTTGAAAATTTTAAATGTCAATTGTTTAAGTTTATTTTATTTTATAAAATTTATAAAAATTTATAAAATTTGAAATTCTATTGTTGTCATTGCTTAGATTTACATATTTTTCCTTTTTTTTTCAAATCATAATTTTAATAGGTTAATTAATTAACATAATTGATGCAATTTAATAGGTGTCAGCTAATAAGTAAATAATTTTTCAATTATCGTTTTTGATTTGATGCTTTAAATAATTTACTTAACATAATGATATATAAGTAAACGTACGCTTCATACTTTACGTCCTATTGACGACTATTTTCATTGCATATCTTAAATACAATATGAAATGGAAGTTAAAAAGAGAAATAAGTTCATTAATTATGCAATAATTTAAAAATTAAATTTGAAATGGAAAATTAATGATATTTTTCAGTTATTAGGTATAACAATGGAATTTTGCAAATCAATTATTGAACAATATGAACCATGTAATGAAGTACGAGAGCTTAATCATATGACTGTTGATGGTAATTTTAATTATATATTAGTTTTTTTTTTCATCAATAATTTGAAAATTTTTAAAATATTCAAAGAATTTTAAAAAATAAAACCAAAAAATTTGTTTAAAATTAATTAAAATTTATGACTAATAGGAAAATTTATTGTGTAATAACGATAAAAAATAATTGAATATGCAATCAATTTATATTCTTAATAACTACTTTAATTAAAACAAGAGAATACTAATTAAAAAAGAAAAGAAAACGGAAAAATAAATATTACTTCGTAATTAAAAAATTCCTAATCCATTCCAATTAATTTTAATAATTTTTTTATTTTATTTTTATTTTTTTTTTTTGAACAAATATTAAACTTTTTTTGCAATCATTTCTTTTCTTTATTGAATTTTTTTCCCCCTAAAAAATTCTATTTTATTACAATTAATTTTAATAATTTTCTTTTGTTTTAAGCAAATTTTGTAAACATTTCTTTTCTTTATTGAATTTTCTTTTTTTTTGTAAATTTTTGAAATTTTTATCACAATTATCATTTATTAATTTCATTTGCAGGTTTTACCAATTATCTTTATAGTGATGAAAATTTTTTATTTGATAATACGCATCGAAATATATGTCAAGAAATGAATCAACCATTTAGCAATTATTTCATTGCAACATCTTTTAATACATCATTAACTGAGGATCAATTAAAAGAACCATTAAATTGTCAAGGTTATATCACAGCACTTCGTCGTAATTGTCGATTTATTGAAGGTTTGCTTAATTTTAACTATTAATAATGATTAATTTTAATAATATTTAATAATGCTTAATTTAATTAAACATTTGTTGAATGAATAAACTAAAATTAAATCAAGAATTTTATTAATATGTATTTTTGTATCTTATTTTTTTTTGGAATATTTTAATTAAATAATTTTCAAAAATTTTATCAATAAACATTTCAAATTTTAAATTAATTGAACGACGAACATTATTGTTGGTTAAATTTAAAAATTTATTTTCTTACTATTATTCCAGATTTCTTTAAATAAAAAAAAAGCTAATTTTTGAAAGAAAAAGCATTTAATAAATAATTGCAGAATAAACTTAGTCAATCTTTAGTATTATTTCAAAATTAAAAAAGAAGGTCACGTAAAGGTGAAACAGTTGTTAAAAACTTTTCTCCATCTATCAGTTCTTCGTATTAATGATTATTATCAACCAACATTTTTTGTTTACATGGTTACTTAACATCACTGTTCCATAATTAATTATCTGTAATTAATTATTTTTACGGTATTTTGATAAGGTTAACGTGAAAAAATGTTTTTTAAATTTATAAAATTTACTCACAAATATACCCTATATTATTATAGTGGATGTTTGGGAACCAATAGCAGGAACTGATGAAAGAGAACCGATGATCCATAATCGTTATAGTACTTCTAAGCTAACCTTATCAGCTGTCCTGAATGTTATCAATGAAATGGCTTTTCAATGGTCAAAGTAATCATTTATATATAGCTGCATTTTTAAATAACACTGACGAAAGTTTTGGCATAATCAAAATCATTCAATTTACCAAGTCTAATGATTAATTATATAATTTGTTCGAAGTGGATTAATTAACTTTTCATCACAACTAATTGTCACACTTCGTATTTAATGAAATTAAAATTTTATTGTTAAATAAATCGGCGAAGCGAAAAAAAGAATGAATAAATTTACTCTTTAATTAACATGTTTGATATTAGATTTATTTTAAATTTAATTTTGCAATTATATTCAATTTATTCGTTTAATTTTCCAATAATTTTCTCCTTTCTTTTTTATTTTTAGTCGAATTTTAATCATTTTAAATATCTAATCAAAAAAATAATACAATATTTTGTAGGTATCCATTATTTTTACGATTAGAAATACATTTAAATACTGAATGGCAAATGATACTTACTGATATGCTCTGTGATACATTTGGTGACAAATTATATCAACCAAAAAATGATCCTACTGATTGGACCGAACGACGACCAACACCAGAAGATTTCCAAATGAAAATTATTCTTATCGTATGTTGTATAATTTATATTCAATCGAAGATTATTCAACATATTAAGAAGAAAACAAAGAATAAAAAAAAAACGAAAACATTCTTGATTTAAAATGTTTTCATTGGAACTAGAATTCTAATTGGAATTCTGCAGAAATTACTTGAATTAATTAAATCTTGAAAGAATTTCTGTCAAGTAGATGATTAATTAGGTTAATAAGTAATCTGAAAAAATACGAAGAGAAATATGAAAAAAGCAAAAATGAAAAAAACGGAAAGATTTTTTTTTAAAAAACACATATGAAAAAACGAAAAAATAAAAAACGGGAAGACGTTTTTTTTGACAAAAATAAAAAAAAGAAAAAATGGAAAAAACGGCGGAGAAAATATACCTATGTAATTTCCTGTTACTGTATTTCCGTTACTGATTTTAGGGTAGACGAATTGCTGATGCCGCAGGTGATATCGGTGAAGTGATTGTGGAAAATGAAAATGATATGGTACAAACCGATGAAGTAATCGATTGTTTATCGAAAAATATTAATCGAATGCTTATTTGTCGTAAATTATCCGATTTAATGTGTCCATGGGCAATTCCAACTATACTCAAAGAAATGCCACTCAATACGAATAATATATGTAAGTTTTGTTAAAAAAATTATTAAAGGTTGGAGTACTGTAATTACAGTACGATTCCGTCTAAATTACGGTAGGTTACAGTACACATTCACAGTAGTTAATATTTTTTGTGATAACTAATATTTTTGTGATATTATTGCTGATAGGGTTTGTTTATTTATTAAAAAATAAAATACTATTATACACTTTGCTGCATTTATATTTTCGTTTTTTCCCTTCTCTGGAATATTTTTCGAGTTTTCTCTAACTATTATGCTAAAATGACAAATAGTATTTGCTTACAGTAAACAAACATTGTCACCTTTTATCATCATCCGAATATAATTGTCTTAAAATGATACAAAATTTTCCGTCAGAATTTGCTCAAACAGCTAAAGATTATCTGATGCTTGTTACACCAGATACATCACGGTAAGCTTATAAATTTATACGGTATTATTTAGCAAAAAATTAATTTTTCAATTTGCATTTCAAAGCATAATTAATCATCCCCGTCATTTTTATTGGTATTTTCTTTTTTATTCAAAACAATAATAGTGCTAAAATTGCAAATCCTTGTATGAAATATAAAGCAATAATGGAAAAATGAAAAAGATAAAAAACTTTTTTACGATAAAATGAGCTAACTATTAATGGTTTGAAGTAATTCATGTAAATTATTGATTTTTCATAGTGAATATTGATATTTTTACAGAAAAATTAAAGTTCGATTATAACACTATCAATTACTTACATTAGTTTCATTTACTTTCTTTTGAAATTATATTCATTTAAATTTAATTTCACAAAAAAGAAAAACGAAAAATTATTTTAAAAATATAATGATTAATTGAGTATTTGAATTTTTTTTTGTTTTTTCAAGCACTGATTCATCAAATATGAATCCACAAGAATTCTGGAATTATGGTATTCAAATGGTTTCATTAAATTATCAAACATTAGGACTTATGATGGATTTACAGGCTTGTTTTTATCAGTTTAAAAATTAATTTTTTATTTATTAAGTAAATATTTTTTATATATTTACATATGCGTGTATATGTACTATGATGAATTTGTAGTAATTAAAATATTATATAAATAATTAGTAGACAAATAATATTTATTATTAAAACAAATAAATTCTATAAAGAATTAATTTTAGCAGGGGAAATTTTTGGAAAATGGTGGATGTGGTTATGTTCTTAAACCATCAATAATGCGTGAAGAATTATATACACCTGGTGATATGATACCAATTCCACCACAAGTTTATCATTAATATTTCTTTTTTCCTTTTTTTAGAAGGAACGAATTGAATTAATTGAAAATGACAATTTTTCTTTTAACATGTAAAAATGTTAATAGTTAGAATTCAAATTTAAATGCAAACATAAATTTTTATTCATACAGAAATTAAATTTTTTCTTAAAAATGATAATTTTCAAAATCTTTTTGTAAATTTAATTTTTTAATTTAACTTCTTTCATAATGTTGAATGAAACATTTCAAAAGATTATTTTAATGTCATGAATTTTTTTTTTAATAACAATACAATAATAAGAGAGGATACTGGAAATACAATAAAATGGAAATAATTATTATAGTAGTAATACTGTAAAAAAAATTTTTTTTTTTTTTGATTTGCAATCAATAAACAGCAAGTTAATAAATGTAACAAAAATAATTTTAAATTTAATTGATTTTTTTTAATATTATTAGAATTTTTTAGATTTTATATTTACGAATTTTATCCGGTCAACATTTACCTCGACCTCGTGGATCAACAGCAAAAGGTAATTCAACAGATCCTTATGTGGTAGTGGAAGTATTTGGATGTCCTACTGATTGTACCGAGGAAAGGACAAGAACTGTTAAAAATGATGGTAAGTTGAATTATTATGAAATAATAAATTTGTTTTTTCATTTTTTGAAAAAAAAGAAATTTAAAATTCTTTATTAAATGAATATTTATTAACTGGAAATTACCAGGAATTTTTGTGAATTTTAATCAATAAAGATGAAATAAATATCAAAATATAACTTAGTTGAATATTTTGTTTTGAAAAATTTATCTCAATTAAACTTTTCAAATTAATCCAAAAAAAAATTTTTTTTTCTTTAGGTGTTAATCCATCATTTGATGAATCATTTCAATTTGAAATTACTGTACCCGAAATGGCATTGATCAGATTTTTGGTACTTGATGATGATTTTATCGATGATGATTTCATTGGACAATATACTATACCTTTTGAATGTCTAAAAAATGGTAAATATTTAAATTTTGATGAATGTTACAATGTGATGAAAGAAAATGAACAAACAAATATAGTAAATTTTCCGGAAAATCTTAATTTATCTTTCGGAATGTTTAGTATGTCCGTAAAAATAGAAAAATATCCATAAAAATTAAGTTTTGTTAAATGAATGATAGACAAATTACTTCAAAACCAAAAAAAAAGAACTTTAAAAAAATTTAAATTTAAGTTTAAAAAAAAGGGAACTTTAAAAAAATTTTCCATCTACTTTTGTTCAAATCATTGTCATGACAGTTTCACTTTCATCATTATAAAATTTAATTTTAATCTATTAGCACTTATTTTTTTTTTGCATTAGCTAACAGTAATTTCGTTGTTTTACTTTATTACTTTGCAGTGCCCACTTTTTTTTTTTTGCTTCCTTTTTTAAAGCTGAGGAATTTGTCAAATTTCGTTTTCATCAACTTTCAAAATTAACTAATCTTTTTTTTTAAATTAAAAAAAGTTTTCAGGCTATCGTCATCTGCCTTTATTGAATATTGAAGGTGAAGTAATGGAAAATTGTACACTTTTCGTCCATGTTGCTATAACAAATCGATGTGGAGGAGGGGTAATTTTAAATTAGAATTAAAAAATTACTTAAATATAAGTCTATTATATAAAAGGTTATTTGGTAAATTTAAAACGTATAACAATGATAGTGTAATTTGTTGCTAATTCCACTAATAATATTAATTAAACCAATGATATCTATAATGTTAATGCAAAAACTAAATTAATTTGATTAACAATAAAAATATAATTTTACAAACTAAAGCCTCATAAGGTGACGTTTATCGAATTTCTTAATGATAATATCATAGTATTATATGGTATCAATATTGCTACTATATTGATAACACATTGATGATATCATATTAACAATACTGATATTGATATCATTAAAGATTAATTGATATGCTCAAAAATTAACATTTTTTAATTTACCACGCTACTACAATTTTCCCTATCAGTCAATAAAGCATTTAATTAAAAAATTTTTAAATTGTTATTATACTTTAGAATGTTTACTACAGTATATACAATTATCATTATATTCCAAAATTATCATTATACCCTAATGATATCATCATTATACTTTCTTGGGAATATATAATTTATTGGAAATTTAATCGTCATTCGTCATGGATATGTGATTTTTCTTCCTTTTCTTTTTTCATTTTTCTTTCCTCTTCCTTTTCTTTTTTTTGTCAGCTAAAAAATAAAAGCAAAAGGGAATTGGATGACAAAAAGAATTTGATTTGAACAAGTAAAAATGTCTGAAAAATTTTCTTCTTATTTCGATTTTCTCTTTTTTTTTTGTTTTTTCTTTTCTTTTATTCTATAATGTTAAAAATATTAAAATTCTTTCAAAAATTTCAAACATAATTTATATTTTTTACAAAAAAAAAAGTTGCAAAAGATATATGAAAATCGTTTTTTTTTTTTTTGTTTAATAGAAAATTTTTTCATGTGAAAATTTGCTCAATAATTTTTGCATTATAATTCAGCTGCTCATTTCAATTATTTATTTTCTTTTTTTTGATTATAAAATTGTAATTTCGAATTGCATATTAATTACTGAATGTAATTTCTAGTACTAAAATTGAAATGAAAAAATTCCTATATAGCACCGATGCATTCGTCTGATTTAAGATTGCTAAAAAAAAAGTTAATCATATATCCATTATAAAGTTATGCGAGAAGTTAGCAAAATGCATTTGTAAAATCGTTTAAAAAAAAGTTAGTAAGGCGTAAGAAGCGATAAAAAACAAAAACAAAAAAATTCTTTACAAACAATTTTTGTGAAGTCGCAAGTTAACGACAGTTGCAACATTGAGATCGCAAGTTGACGATGTGCATTTGCAAGGTAAAGATTACAAGTTACATGACATGTATTTGCAAGACTATAGAAAAAAAAGTAACATGAAATTATTGGAAAAACAAAATGCTGTTAGCATGTCATGCAAATATGAGTAGGTGAATGCGTATTGGATGTTTGCTTTTTCAATTAGCAATAACTTCATGCAAAAATTAAAATTCATGCTTTATGTTGAAAGTGTTTCTTAAAAAATACGAACTGTAAGATCTTTTGATTAATTTTTAACTAATGAACTTAATTAACAATTATAATTATGGATACCTTTCAATTTCACTTGTATTTCATAACTTCCAATTAGCTAATTATTCGCCTAATTGCAATTCTCATCAAATTTATAAAATGCTACAGTAATTGCGGTAAGTTCAATGTATAGTTTTTATTGTTATACTTTAACTGAACTTAAATACTGGTATAACTGACGTATAAGAAATATTTTCCAGCAAATAATTTTGATAAGAAAGTGTTGAAATTAATTATCTATTTTAAAATATTCATCTATATAATATTGCGTTAAATACTTGAAATCATTGATAAAAATTATTTCTATCACTTTTTTTTCTGATTAAACTTATCATAAATTAATAAGAAAAGGCAACATTGATGAACAACAATTTTAGTAAATTGTAAATTTATTTGTTTGCATGAAAATGAATGAATGAAAATGTTAAAAGATAAAAAATTATTTTGAAACTGTAACTTACTATTATTCTTAAATTTTTATTCTATTTAATGAGGGTAATTGCAATTGAAGGAAAAGGAAAGAAGACAAACTAATTTAAAGGAATGGAAAATGTTCAGCTATCTCAAGGGGATTAGTAGTTAGTTCATCTATCTTAAAGTTTTATCAATGTTTTGATAATGAAGTTTCAAAAACGAGGAAGAGTTGCCTCATTTTTCTTTCCACTTTTTCTTTTAATAATAATTTTACTTTTTATTTTTTTAAAGGAATAAAGGAAAGAAATCCGTATTATTATTATCATTATTATTATTATTACTATTACTATTATTATTATTATTATCATTATTATTATTATTATTATTATTATTATTATTATTATTACTGCCGTTATTATTATTATCATTATTGTACTTATTCCACTCAAAAATTATTTCAATCATGAGATAAGCATATGAAATATATATATATATGTTCCAGTTTATTTGTTCGATCTAATTGCTTTAATTCATTTGTTAACAACTTGTAATACAATAGAAATAAATACTATTTGTAAAGGTGTGAATTATTTTTCAATTGATAAACGTGGTAATGCCACTGATAAATGATAAATTCAATTTTGCAAGGCTTTCAATTATTAAGTAATAGAATTGTAGTTTCATTC